TACAAGTTCTGCTGTGCACAGCCACTTCTGTCAAGGTGGCCGGGAAGAACACTTGGATACATGCCTCCCACTGCAAGAAAGTCCCAACCCCTGAGGAAAAGGCGTCATCTACACCATGATGATTGTGTTGTATATCCTTTTTCTAATAAGTTTGATAAAAGCTCAGCAGGTGGATATCACCAAAACAGGTGCTCAAACAGGTGGCCATCACTAAGGTAAATTGCACCACCACATTTTGGTACAACTCATCCAACGCTCATGTATCCACCTTCACCTTCGATTTTTGTAGTGTACTACCTGCTTGGTGCTGAGGCATTCCAGATCCTAACTGGGCACAGCAGGTATGTGAAAAAGGTGGTGACCAGATTTACAAATGTGTCACGGATGATTATTGGGCACAGAATTGTGACTATTGAGGATTGGTAGGATGGAATACGGGAACAGCCTGGGGATATAGACCACAGAGTGCTCTAAACAAGAAAGATGGAAAGGGGAGGTCCCTTATTGACCGTATGAAGTTTCTGAGGTCGGGGTGTAATATCAAGGGGGAAAGACTCACCATAAATATAGAGAATCCCAGCCCTGGTGATGCAGGTATTTATTGGTTAGGCAGGACCAGCTTTTCTGGAACTGGTTCTCTGGAAAGGCTTCAACTAAAAGACATGTATCGCTCATCAGAACCAGTGGTCAATCCCCTCAGACCCTCCATTCGTACCATAGGTGACATGGTGGCAATAGCAAATCCCACCTTTGAGGACACTATGGCCGCAGAAACTGTTTTTTTCTGATACCAACTTGTGGCTTGAGTGGATGAGGTTCACTGCCAGCCAGCATAACAAAAGTAATTGTTATGTCTGTGGTAGTGCCAGGCCACATTTAGGTACAGTCCCTCTCTCAATCCCATGGGACAATGAGGAATGTTTCCTCAGCCTGTTCACCAACACATCCACCAACCATTCCACATGTGAGAAATGGAAGAAGGAATATCCGATGTGTGGTGGTTTATGTAATAATTTATTCTAAATATGTAGGGCGGTGTCCTCTCCCTTAAACAAAATCTCAGCAGTGCCTCCAAATTTATCCTGTGGTGGTTTATGTAAGAACTTATTCTAAATATGTAGGGCCGTGTCCTCTCCCTTAAACAAAATATCGCAGTGCCTCCAGCCGTTAAAATACGGCAAATATTTAATGAACCAATAATTTGGACACCTTAATAATTTGATCACCACTTATTATTATACCTTGAGTTCTTTTAGCCAGTATGATTTCGTACCATACACACAAAAATTGCCTTATAATAAATAAATAATGTACAAAATTTATATATATATTAATACAAACGCAAAATACTGGTGATAAATGTATACTTGTACATACAATAAAAATATGACAGGCTAATTCTATATGATCCAACAATAGATGATTATAGATAATAGTAAATAGAGGAAAAATCTAATTTAGGTATAAGTTGTAACCTTATAGTGCTTCAGAAATTATTTCTAATTTCTCTTGGCCATAGAGAAAAAAAAAAGATATCTCTGATAAATTGCACTACAACAAAACTACTGATCAGTTAAATATGCAATATCTAATTTCAATACCAAATCAAATAAATTTTTAGTGATAATTATGTATATAATCTTAATATTCCTAAACACACAATACAAATGCTATAAGTCTATGGAAAATTGGAAATATCAAATAAAATACAATCCTAGCAGTCTCACCACTCCTATAACCTTGATTTTGAGGCCTCCCCAGTGGGATGCAGTTGGGCCTTCAAATGGTCCTCAAGACAAAATGGCAGCTGGAACTCCTTCAGCAAAATGGCCGCAGGTAGCAGGTGAGATATAATGCAGTAGGTGTTAGCAATAGGATAGATGATATATATTGGAAGTTATAGCAGCCTAGATTGTAGTGTTATAGTAGAGGTTCAGAAGTTTCAGATTGTAGATTTTCAGATTGTAGATTGCCTTAGATCTTTTCAGCTTCTTCAGATTCTTAGCTCTCTTTAGATTTTTTCCAGATCTTCTAGATTTTTTCAAGAAGATCCTAAGTGTGAGGTGTATGGTCTTTTTATACCATACAATCCTTTGTTTCAAGAGACCCTCCCAACAGGCTTGTTGATTGGCCGGTCAAGAAATGTGTGTAGATAAAGATATATCTCACCTGTCCACTGGGGGCAGCTAGGGATCACAAAACAATTTTGTGTTGTAATGATGACTCATCCTTTGATTGAAATAACATGTCTTTAGGTATCAAATATATATGTATCCTATTCAAGTATAGTTGATTCTACTACTACTCTTGGATGAGGACCATAGAAAGATATACATACATTTGGTTTCTCATTTCCCTGATATTTAAACTGTTTTGAAACATTTGATTTCTTTTGGAAATGTATAATTGACACCAATTCAGGAATCATCTTATTCTTCATCATTTCACACTTAGTTGAGTGGGATGCAATACCTAACCTTCTCAAAGATATTTTCCCTTGATAAAAACTGTTAGTAATATGCCTTTGATAATGTCTCTGTGGGTAGATATATCAAGTTTTTTAGCTTTAGATGACCTAAGTTTCACCTTCTTGTTTAAGGAATGAAGTTCCCATGAGTACGAAAAACTCTGTTTACCTGTTTATTGTGTGGAAATTAGGGTAAACAGACAGTTATATTTTGACCTCAGTATCCAATAGCTATTGTGACAGTTCAAGAATTTTGTTTGTTCATCACACTTTCCAAGGTTTTGTGTGTGAGCTCTCAGACAATCAGGTTTCCATCTCATCATTGTCCTTTTTGGTGAGGTGTGTTGGCTCACCTGTAGAAGTCCAAATAGTGGTGTTTGACTTTATAATTAAGTTTTCTGCAGATGAAATCTCCTAGCTTCCCATAAACCATGGCACTTGTTTAGGAAACATATATCTGCCAGGTCTTAGACTAATCAACATCAGATCCCACATTGTCTTTTCTGGGACTTTGATCACCTGTAGGAATTTCAATAGTAGTGTGTGTCTCATTGTCTTTCAAACATGTTTCTTCCACTCACTGGTTTTTGTAACATCCTAGAAGGTCATTTGAATTTCAACCAAGAATGTTAACCCCTGACAGTCAGCTGGGATTCCCAATTTTGGAATAAAATCATTTCTTAATAAATAGTCCCCCAAAAGTCACTACAGATGGTTACTAAAAGCTCAAAACCTGGAGTGGGGTATTACTATCTATCCAGGGAATTTCACCTGTTACTCTAATTACAAAGGCAAAGGGAGGTTTCTGGGTAATTTTACAGGTTATTGTTCCACCTACAGCAGCATTCCGGGGGTTAAGGTGCAGAATCAGACTCAGTCTCTCAGTGACATATACTGGATCTGTGGGGACCAAAGATTAGAACCAGATTGGAAGGGATTTGGACTGGTGAGTATGCTCTTGCAAAGGCCATTATGCCTCTCCACATCCTAGGAGAGAATACTCCTGACCCAACGCCTGGCCGTAGGAGGAATCGGAAAGCTCCTTCTGGTAGTTTTGACCCACATGTGTATATAGATGCCATTGGAGTCCCAAAGGGGGGTGCCTAATAAATTTAAAGCCAGAGACCAAGTAAAGCAGGCTTTGAATCCCTGATTCCCATGATAACTGTTAATAAAAATGTAGATAGGGGTAACTGTACTAATAATTCTGATTCTCCTGGCCCTGGTTGTATGCTGTGTTATACCATGTGTGAGGAAATTGATGAGCAAAGCTGTAGACAACAGAACACCTACCTTCCTGAACCAGGAGCAAGAGGATCTCCATATGATAGATGAAGGAAAACCTTACACCCCATTACGGTCCCTCCCCGCCAATAGTAATCTCACAATTTTGTAGGGATAGCATCTGACTTTCCTTATGTACAAAGTCTGTGGCAAGGGGGGTGATGAAATAGTCATCACTTGTCTAACGTGCAGCATAAAAGAGTTCCAAGGTACATAAGGACAGATGAGCGAGGTCTTATAGGGACAGAGGAAAATAGTCATTTTAAGGGGGGACTGTGATGGATTTGGTAAAATGTCTATTTCATTTCCTATTGATATATATATATATATTATATTTCTTACATTTTATACATATTTACTTTTATACTTTAATACTATTTCTTTTTCATCATATTTATAAATGTTTAGTATGAATACATATGTTGTGTGAATATTATCTGCCTGCTGGGCTTTGTGGTACTTACTTTTACATGGAGTTTATATAGCCAAAGGGTTTGCTCAGCGCTGTACAATAGGGGGGGACAATACATGGCACAGTACAACAAAAACAGACAGCGTACGAGGGGTAAGAGGGCCCTACTCTTTCAAGCTTACAATCTAGGAGACTTTAAGAAATCCTTGCTTAAGAAATGTCTGCTCACACGCACCGACCCCCTCCCATCCCGCCAACTTGAGAAAAAATGAATGTTTTTCTTTCTATAGATAAGACTTGGAAGAAGATCACACCTATACCATGACGGAGATTGTTTTCCTGTGGAAATGACCAAAGACTGATATAATACTTATGCTGTTGTCACATGACTCTGATGCTGTTGTCACATGACTCTGATGCTGTTGTCACATGACTCTGATGCTGTTGTCACATGACTCTGATGCTGTCCTCACATGACTCTTGCATCATTCTGCATATATAAGTTCACTTTCTCATTATAATAAACTAGAAGTATTCATAGACTGAACTTATGTGTCAGTGTGTCCTTCATTTCCAGAATCTACTGACCACTCTGCACCCCAGACATTTACTGCACTTCATCCATGTCTTTGGGGGCCTCTCATCTCCTTATGAACTGTTTCTTCCATGATGAAGATCAGCCATGGAGTATATCTGAGGTGTATATCAGGGTGTGCTTCTTCCCCACATGAGAGCTGGGATGTCCAGCAACATTCATCTAGAAGACATTTCCCGCACTCAAGGCACTAATACACCTCCAGGGTTTGTGGGACCCCTGATGTACAGGAAGACAGGACTTCAGTGAGGAACATTTCCCTCACTCAGGACAGAAAAGTGGCTTCTCCCCTGTGTGAGATCTCTGATGTCTAAAAGATGGGACTTCTGTGAAAAACATTTCCCGCACTCAGGACAGGAATACGGCTTCTCCCCCGTGTGAGATCTCTGATGTCTGTAAAGATGGACTTCACTGAAAAACATTTCCCGCACTCAGGACAGGAATAAGGCTTCTCCCCTGTGTGAGATCTCTGATGTCTGTAAAGATGGACTTCACTGAAAAACATTTCCCACACTCAGGACAGGAATACGGCTTCTCCCCTGTGTGAGATCTCTGATGTCTGTAAAGATGGACTTCACTGAAAAACATTTCCCGCACTCAGGACAGGAATACGGCTTCTCCCCTGTGTGGATCTCTGATGTCTGTAAAGATTGAACTTCTGAAAAAACATTTCCCACACTCAGAACAGGAATACGGCTTTCTCCCTGTGTGTGACAATCTCTGATGTCTGGAAAGATGGGACTTTCTGTGAAAAACATTTCCCACACTCAGGACAGGAATACGGCTTCTCCCCTGTGTGGATCTCTGATGTTTATTAAAGATGGACTTCTCTGAAAAACATTTCCCGCACTCAGGACAGGAATACGGCTTCTCCCCTGTGTGAGATCTCTGATGTATGTGTGTGATGATTTTCCAAAAAACATTTCCCGCACTCAGGACAGGAATACGGCTTCTCTTCTTCCCCTGTGTGTGAGATCTTTTATGCAAATTAAGTCTGGATTTATAAATGGAAACATTTCCCGCACTCAGTACAGGAGAAACCTCTTCCCTGTTGGAAGGCCGGCCCGGTCCCGCACAGTCTGAGGTTCCTCAGGATACGAGGAATCCGATGGTCCATCTACACTGGGTGGTGCCGGATGGACATTGGAGGGAGCCGGGTTTTCTCCTGGACTATACTGTGTGATGTCCTCATCTTCTACTTTCCAGTCTGGAGACAAAGTGAGACAATCCTCGGAGGTTTTCCTCATCTCCCGGCCATGGACTAAAATACAAAGACAAAGAGGATTACTAGACAGGAGCTGATTGGTTTCCCCCAAACCAGGACTCCGCCCACATCAGGCAGCTTGGTCTCTGAGGAGCTTACAATTCCACCCTCAAGGGAACTAGGAAATGGCTCCTCTGATCTCCTACCAGGTCATTTCTTTATTCATGGACCTTAGTCAGAGAGTGAGGAAACAACCAGAACTGTCTTTTATAGGAGGGACAGTGATGAGGGGGGATTATAGGACGAGGGTCCCCACCCCCTCTATCACTCATCGCCATCTTCCCAACACAAGAAGTACTGCACTTCCTTATTTAGTCCATGATTTAGTCATGAAGAACAGCGGGGCTGAGCCCCACCAGAGGTCAGAGAGTGAGGATGGGGGGAGAACAACCAAGATGAAGACTGGACTGATCCTGAAGACCACCATCATTGGGGTATTGACTCCTCCCTCATTATCACTTTCTGTTTAAGGGTCCAAAGTTGGAGGATGTTATCACATTATTATCACCATGTAAAAGTCTGTGCTCCAATCACATCATCCGATATAAAATGTCCAGCTGGGAGGAAATGGGGGGAACAAAAGAGAATCCATATTTATTATGTGTATATATAGCAGTGGGGGGAGGGGGGGGGGAGAGCAGAAGTCAGGGATGGAATGTACAACAGAGAGATATACAGTGCAGGGGGTCAGGAGTATGTAATGTACAACATAGAGTATATAGTGCAGGGGTCAGGAGTATGTAATGTACAAACATAGAGTATATAGTGCAGGGGTCAGGAGTATGTAATGTACAACATAAGAGTATATAGTGCAGGGGTCAGGAGAGTATGTAATGTACAACACAAGAGTATATAGTGCAGGGGTCAGGAGTATGTAATGTACAACATAGAGTATATAGTGCAGGGGTCAGAGTAGCATGTAATGTACAACATAGAGTATATAGTGCAGGGGTCAGGAGTATGTAATGTACAACACAGATTATATAGTGCAGGGGTCAGGAGGAGTATGTAATGTACAACATAGAGTATATAGTGAAGGGGTCAGGAGTATGTAATGTAATTCATAGAGTATATAGGTGCAGCAGGGGTCAGGAGTATTAAGAGTAAATACAGAGTAACCTGCAGCATATACATTGTGGGTCAGAGTGTATGTAATGTACAACATAGAGTATATAGTGCAGGGGTCAGGAGTATGTAAATGTACAACATAGAGTATATAGTGCAGCAGGGGTCAGGAGTATGTAATGTACAACAAAGAGTATATAGTGCAGGGGTCAGGAGTATGTAATGTACAACAAAGAGTATATGAGCAGTGCAGGGGTCAGAGTATGTAATGCAACATAGAGTATATAGTGCAGGGGTCAGGAGTATGTATGTAATGTACAACATAGATTATATAGTGCAGGGGTCAGGAGGATATAATAATGTAATATAGAGTAAATAGTGAAGGGGTCAGGAGTATGAATGTAATCCATAGAGTATATATTGCAGGGATCAGGAGTATGTAATGTAAAATACAGAGTAAATAGTGCAGGAAGTCAGTAAGTATGTACATACACATTAGAGTATATAGTGCAGGGGTCAGGAATATGTAATATACAACACACAAAGAATATATAATGCAGGGGTCAGGAGTATGTAATGTACAACAGAGTAATAGTGTGCAGGGATCAGGAGTATGTAATGTGCAACATAGAGTATTACTAGTGCAGGGGTCAGGAGTATGTAATGTACAACATAGAGTATATAGTGCAGGGGTCAGGAGAATATGTAATGTACAACAAAGAGTGCCATATAATGCATGCAGGGGTCAGGAGTATGTAATGTACAACACAGAGTAATAGTGCAGGGGTCAGGGGTATGTAATGTACAACATAGAGTATATAGTGCAGATATCAGGAGTATGTAATGTGCAACATAGAGTATAAAGTGCATGGGTCAGGAATATGTAATGTACAAAATAGAGTATATAGTGCAGGGGTCAGGAGTATGTAATGTACAACATAGAGTATATAGTGCAGGGGTCAGGAGTATGTAATGTACAATATAGAGTATATAGTGAAGGGGTCAGTCAGGAGTATGTAATGCACAACAGAGTATATAGTGCAGGGGTCAGGAGTATGTAATGTACAATATAGAGATATAGTGCAGGGGGTCAGGAGTATGTAATGTACAACATAGAGTATATAGTGCAGGGGTCAGGAGTATGTAATGTACAACATAGAGTATATAGTGAAGGGGTAAGGAGTATGTAATGCCACAACAGAGTATATAGTGCAGGGGTCAGGAGTATGTAATGTACAACATAGAGCATATAGTGCAGGGGTCAGGAGTATGTAATGTAACATACATAGAGTATATAGTGCAGGGGGTCAGGGAGTATGTAATGTACAAAAAGAGTATATAGTGCAGGGGGATCAGGAATATGTAATGTACAATATAGAGTATATAGTGCAGGGGTCAGGAGTATGTAACAACAAATAAGTGTATATATAGTGCAGGGGTCAGGGTATTTTGTAATGTCACAACATAGAGTATATAGTGCAGGGGTCAGTAGTATGTAATGTACAACATAGAGTATAAAGTCTGCAGGGGTCAGGAGTATGTAATGTACAGCACAGACAACATAGATATAGTGCAGGGGTTCAGGAGTATGTAATGTACAAGAGAGTATATAGTGCAGGGGTCAGGAGTATGTAATGTACATGTAAACATAGAGTATATATTGTGCAGGGGTCAGGAGTATGTAATGTACAACATAGAGTATATAGTGCAGGGGTCAGGAGTATGTAATGTACAAACATAAAGTATATAGTGCAGGGGTCAGGAGTATGTAATGTACAACATAGAGTATATAGTGCAGGGGTCAGGAGTATGTAATGTACAACATAGAGTATATAGTGCAGGGGTCAGGAGTAATGTAATGTACAACATAGATATATATAGTGCAGGGGTCAGGAGTATGTAATGTACAACATAAATTATATACAGTGTAAGGGTCAGGACTCATAATATTGGTATTCAGTAATCAGTGGAAGATTAAATGTTTACTGTAGACAAGTTGCAGAGATCCCACACCGCTGCCTCCCATCTCCTGAGACTGCACTCAGTGACTTGGGTCTGAGACACTACAGACATATCCCTCCACCCGGCACAGCCAGCAGACCACAGAGCAAGGAACCCTGGGAGAAATGTTTCTGTCAGAGATCTTGCTGGGGAGACCCAAAATCACATGTCCCACATCTATATGTAACAATGCTATATGTAAAAATCAAACATTTTGCTGCCAGCTGAACCCCAGAACCTCCATAAATCCAGTCTAGATACATAAATTGTGTCTGCAGCACAGAGAAGGAAGATTATCCGAGAGAAATCCAGGAATACAGGACGGGGAACACAGCTCAGGAAAGTGACCAGGGGATTACAGGCTGATATCACCCAGTCCCCGCCCTACTCTGGACCAATCAGTGAGCAGTATGGGTGGAGGAATGGATTTAGTGTTCATGACCCACCTGTGCTGATCTCTGTAGGAGTGTCCTCCTCTATAAATGTCCCCGTTATTCCATCCTCCTCCATAGACTGCTGATCATCCCTCACATACGCCTCTTCTTCTTCTGCTTTCACCTCAAATTCTATATCGATTGGATCTCCACTCTAAATCAAGGAAATGAGAGAAAATATCATCTGTAAATAAAAGTGTGTCACATAAAAAAAATCCACATTGTCTCTACAAGTCCATGTTCTAGATGCTCCATCCCACCAACCTTGTAATAGTGAGGGATGGTGTGACCTTCCTGTGTGGAATCCCGGGAATACAGAGGACGGGGACATCTCTCTGGTGGGTTCCTGGTATTAGGTGGCTCCATCATATCCTTGTGTCCTTCTGAAAACTCCTCCATCACTCCATACTCCTCATCCTCCTCTTTATACTCTTCTTTAACATCAATATTATCATCCCCGAGGATTCCACTCTGAAAGATATAATAAAACATTCATTGTAACAAACATGCTGTGTATAAATCACAACTACCAATAATTGTCATCATCTACCTGATGATGGTGAGGGATGGTGTGACCTTCCTGTGTGGAATCCCGGGAATACAGAGGACGGGGACATCTCTCTGGTGGGTTCCCATGACTGGATCCATCTGTAGGAAACACACACACTGACTGAATCCATTGTTTTTCTATGTGTTTATCAGATGATGGGGGATCTAGGTGGATCCTCCGTACTGCTCTCTCCTTTACAATAAAGTCTCCTCTTACCCGGTGATGTGAGGGGCGGCTGATTGTCCATCATGACGTCCTTGTAGAGATCCTTGTGTCCTTCTAAATACTCCCACTCCTCCATGGAGAAATAGACAGTGACACCCTGACACCTTATAGGAACCTGACACACACAATGATACAGTCACCATCCAGACACATCCCTTGTCTGTTACTGGAGAATGTCCCAGAATTCCCGGCACCGCTCACCTCTCCTGTCAGCAGCTCAGTGATCTCTCTGGTGACTTCTAGAATCTTCTTCTTCTTTCTCTCTTCTATCAGGGGGGGAGGTGGAGGCAATGTGATGTCATATGATCTCCAGACTTCACAGGAGGAGGAAAACTCTACATCTGAACAC